TAAGGTTTATTAAACTTTCAACACTGTTATCTATATGAGGAAATTGACCTTACACCTTTAGGTAAGCCAATATGGTAACTCACAAGGACAATTTTAACTGGAATATTATATAGCATCTTAACATAATGTTACATAAAGGCCTCTAAAGCAAATAAACCCTTAGGAATTAGAATCTATACATGTATATGTCATAACGATAATAATAATAGTTGCATTATATTTAACGGTTCTTACTTCTTAGGAATTTCATTTATATACAAGGATTTTAAATATTATGTTCTCATGAGGTGAATAGAAGAAGTTGTTACTTAGACTCCGGGTCAGAAGTGAAATAATTCTTCATATAGAGAAAAGTCTGAGAATATATTAAAAGAAAGTATCTAATAGCATAACCATAAGATTACAACGTTGAACTAAGTATGAAGCTTTTTCAGTTTTTTATTCATTAATATGATCATTTTGGTTTATTAATAAAACAATATTAAGAATTATAATGGAAATTTATAGTAAGGGTAACTTACAGTTAGAAGTACTGGCTCCATCTATTAAGTTCTTGCTCTAAGTTTGATGAGAAGTAATCTAAACTTATTATAAGTAAACGAAGTTACTGGACCTAGTTACTGCATTCACTTACAGAGAGTCTTGGCTTTGATTTGTTTTTTAATAATATACAGGGTGACTGGTGAATTACTATCAATATTTAAGGAGAATACTCGGTACATGATTCTCATTCGAATTATGTAAAAAAAAATAGGTACTTAATTTTTGACCAAATTTCCATATAAATAAATAAAGTGTGGACATGTTCCAAGTGTTCCAAGTGTGGACGCGTACGGCGGCGTGCTGATACAACACCACGCCGCCGCACGCGCGTGTGTGTGTGTGTATACCTAATCTGTAGGGTGTTCACACGATGCGTAATTAATTACATGACTTTTGGTAAACTTTACTTAGAAGTTTATTAATATTTATGTTATATTAATTTTTATTTTGTCATATATGATCGTCAAATATCACGTCCTCAAGAATCGATAGTAATTCACCAGTCACCCTGTATATTTAAAAAAAATATCGATAATAATTTCCATCGATAATATGACGTCCATCCCTATCATAAAAATGTACTCCATACCTGAGGGCAGATGGCAACATTCTTTATTTTAGAATATTAATAAGGAGCGGGCAACATTACGTATTTCACATAAAGTAAAATCATTATAGTGTCATCCCTTTCATTCTTATATAAAATACGATATATTTGTCCCATTCTAATATTTAAATGTCGAATTATGGCGATCTGTTCCACAAAACAGATTCATCCCGCGATTAAAACTTAACATTGTTATAAGTAACTATATACTACACTATTATAAGCTTCTAACGAGACAAAAATGCAAAATATAGTTAAAAAATCTTAAAAAACTTTATATTTAAAGTGAAAAAATACAATTTTATCAAAGCACTATAATCTCTATGTTATTTCGTTTCTTTAACATAATAATATAAAGCACGACACGTCGCCATCTTACATTTAATGATATCATTTTTGTTATCGTGTGAACCCCGATGGCGTCTTCGTATAATTTCTGTCATTTCCTTGTCAATATAGTTCGTATTAAAATTCGAAAATGGAACACTAAATTCAAGGTGGCCATGATTTTAGATTTTTCATAATATTTTTTAACTTGTAAAATTATTTTTTATGAATTTAATTTCTTATATTATGAAGTTTATTTGAAACTTTTTTCCTATTATATTTTCCTCCTTGTTCGTGACGTTAAATTAAGTTTCCCGCCGAACGCACGGCCATGTTCCTCCCAAGGCTACAAGTTGTCAGTGAGGTCGACATGAAACAGTTCCTTATAAGAGTTTTATATTTTTAATCGAATGGAGACGTTACAATAAAATATTCATCTTTTTATTACTTACAATTTATTTAATCCTTGCTATAATAAAATTCAGTAAAAATATACATAAAAACAATGGATTTTAAATAATGAAATTATTCAAAAATAATTTTAAGTGTAGTTTCCTTGAATTACTATATATAATGGAACTTACTATTAATGTATTTTAGGTCTACCCGAAATCAATGAAAATAATTCTGTAATTTTGTTTTTTTTTATTTCTTATTGTTATAATATCATAAAACCCTATAATAAAATTTCTAACATTAAATCAACTTAAAGTTTTATAGTTACAAATTATTTTATTATAACGGAAACGGAAAAACTAATATTTATCCAGACGATCCTGTTTTAACCAAAAGACATAAATTTTCTATTATTAAAATTTATTTTTAAAACAGTTAGAATAAACTTATATTACATGAAGTCGAAAACAATTAACTTTTGACAGTATTTATTACAGATTATTAAATGAAAAAAAGATACTCCACGTAGATACAAGATATAATACAACTAATATACTAAATTAAATATTTTTTCAACATTTTTACTAAACATTAAGTACATGACATAATACATTTATAACAAATGTCAAAAAGCACAAGTTGACAGTTAATGTATACCTAAATCAAAAATCGTAAAGACATATAATTTTTATTAATCTATCACTTAATTAATTATATCACACATTTTAATATAAATTAAATATATATTTCGTGACCATTTTAATACTATAACTTTTCAAAGATGAAATAAATATACTACTAATATTAAATATTATTTTTAATATGTTCAACACATGGCCACCCTACCATTAAGCGCCATAGATCGCGTGACAAAGTAGGTGTCAGTGCATCAACAGATTCCTATGGGAACCGAACTGACCTAACTCAGATGCATGGATTCCTTTAAAAATGAGATAATATGTGGAATACGGGCCGCTCTCACACCGACACGTAACGACGAACGAACGAATGTGATGATATTTGGAGAACATTCCCTACTAATATTATAAATGCGAAAGTAACTCTGTCTGTCTGTCTGTTACACTTTCACGACTAAACCACTGAAGTGATTTTAATGAAATTTGGCACAGACATAGAGTTGACCTTGAGAAAGAACATAGGATAGTTTTTATCCCAGACTTTTGAAAGGTTCTCTTGGAAACGCTATATAACAGAACTCCACGCGGGCGAAGCTGCGGGCGGAAATCTAGTAATAAAATACTTCGAAAAAAATGTATTAAAGATATAAATATTGAATAATAAAAGCTTTTCTATCTTAATTATTTTAATTTAATACATAAAACATGATTTTTTCAATATAAACTTCTTTTCCAAACATATCATATTTCTAATCTGTACGGTGTGAGTATACTTCGTGATGTTCGATTATTATTTTAGGCTATCATTTTTGGAGGGCTAGGTTATTTTAATACGCAGTTACAAAAGGTCGTGACTCTCTTGCACACGACTTGCGAATTTTGATGTTCAGACTAAACTAAAACAAATTACACATGTATTTAACACTTGAAGGATGATTTTAATGAGAGAGGAATCTCTTCCGAGAATTATATATATATCTTTATTATTAATATTAAACTAATTAATCAAGAATAACAATTTTGTAAGCTATAGTAAAATAATTGTTTTAAATAATAAAAAAAACTTCATCATTAATTCAAACAAAATAATCTTATTTAAACGACACGACATCCTCACGATATCGTATAGCTGTCGTCACGTGTTATATAAACAATCCATCGAGTGACTCAGTATTGGTAATCATAGGTTAAGCTCATAGTATTTATAAGATTACTTAGAGTTCGATGAATTCTGTAATACTATAGCTGAAAAACGATTCACCATAAAAATAATAACTAAAAATATGTGTTTAGTGACTTAGATAATCAGTTAATTGATAGATTCGGAGTTTTTGATGTTTACGAAATTTTTATATGGCAACATTTATGTTTGATTTTTAATTATTAGTTTTGATATATATGAGTTTTTGTCTGTACATGTTTAAAATTATTGTAATATAATTTTAAATATCATAATATATTTCTTTAACACTAAAAGTATGCCATTTTTTCTCCCATTAAATACGTCTTTGAAAATATATTCACACGCTATATAAATACAAATATATACTTGAACTTCAATATTATAAATTATATAACTAACTAGTCTTTGCCCGCGACTTCGTCTGCGTTAGTATCAGAATTAGAAATGTATATCTGACCGCGTGAACTTTGTTCCTCCTTAAAGACAGTAGACAAAAAGATTTCGAATTTGATCAACTTGTTTCTTTTTTTGAATCTCATGAAAAGCTCACTAATTTTCAGCCAAATTCATTCATTCGTTCTTGAGTTATAAGTAGTGTGAATAACAAGACTTTCTTTTATAGGTATATAAAGATGGAGACTTGGGGAGTTATTTTTTATATAGATATTAAGGGACCATGTGTTTATATAAAACCATGATTACCATTTTCGTAGTATTATCAACGAGTTCTTCTATCATATTATTTTATTAAGACTAGGTATAATATGCTTTATTCTATTTGGTTACTGTCTTAAAAATAAAACGTAATTTCTGTACATTTTCGTACGTTTATGAATGAATTTGTTTTAAAAAAAATCAATGAACACTTTATGTCAATATTTTCTTATCGTTATACAAAAGTCCAGGTCTTGTTTGTCGTTAATATATAAGATAATTGTCGCTATTAATATAAAATCTTGTGCATAATCTAATACAAAAGCCATCATTGTATTACTAGCGTCATCTAGTGGCAAGTAGCATGCAGCAATCAACACTACCTTAATGGATGCTGTGAAAATATATCAAATATGAAAAAAGAAGTAATAAAATAGTTAATTCAAAATTCCAATTGTATTTAAATGTGAAATTCAAATATTAAGAATAGAGTATATCACAACATCCTTTTCATACTCTTTTCTTTTTATAATCTATTACATCTGTCACTGTCAAAAACTGTTATTTAGCGTTTTGATTTCGGTTTTCGCTTGTCATCCCGTGTATAGAACCGTACAATAAAAGTTTGTTTTAAATATTGAAATTATACAAAATGGCTCTGATAGACTTGTGCCGTTTAGAGGAGAAAATTAACTTAAAGCCCGTGGATTCTCTTGCTTCTGTTAACAACGATGTAATGGGTAACACCCAAAACTTTTTGAATAGCGCCCAACTTGCTCTTCCTCCGTTTGCCAATGTAAGTTATAAGGTTATTGTTGAATGTATACAAAATCCTATTTAAATATTACATTACTCATCATAAACATGTAATTTTCTTGCAGCCGGTGGAAACTCTAGCCCAGTTTAACACCAAAGACGAAACTGGCCGTCAAATTAAAATTGAGTTTGATCACGGCACCACCACACTCGGATTTCGGTACAAAGTAAGTTAATCGTCTTCAACTAATACTTTACTTGTAATAAAGAAGTAAATGCAAGGTTTATACTGCTTTTTGTGATGCTAAGGCGCTGTATGACTAACTAATGACTTTGATAAAAATTTTGTATTAAACTATTATTAATTATTACACAATAATGAATTCCAGGGTGGAGTTCTTCTAGCTGTTGACTCCAGAGCGACGGGCGGTCAGTTTATTGGTTCTCAGTCTATGAAAAAGATTGTGGAAATCAATGACTATTTACTGGGTAAATACATTTTTTGTTTTAATGTTATGTTACACTATAGTGTCAAGACTTTATGCAATACATAGGAAATTTGAAAAGTTGGGTTAGTCTTTCTAAGAGCTTAAGAATACAGTAGAAACTCAATTAGCCAGACTAATTGTTGTCAATATGCATTCGGATAATCAAATGTATCAGGAAAAGCAGGTTTTGTGCATATGTAGTACATAATATATTTTTATTTAAAAAAAATACATATCAACAAAAATCAATGTTTATAAATAAATAATTAAAATACATTTTCTTAGATTACATATACATGTATGTACTAAAAACTGCAGCTTTAATCACGAAATAAAATAAGTTTAATTTGGTTTACAATACTTGGTAATTGTCATTTGACGTAAACCACTCTTTGTTTTCATTGCTGCTATATCACGAATTCGTTTCAGCTGTAGTAAGCTGTAGTAACACTATCACTTTCCGTTAGTTTTACAAATCACTTGAGAGCTATTTGTAATGCATGCAGTGCTTCATCATGAGATGGTCCAGCATCATTGTCCTCGTCTTGATTTTCTTCAAATTCATCTTCTTGGATTTCATCAGAATTATAAACAAAATCCAAATCATAGTTATTTTCATCATTAAAATCATCTTTAAAAGATTTTGCTGCATCGACATTAACTGATATTTTTTCATGAATTCCATGACGAGATTTAAATCTATACAACCACCCGTTACTTGCCACAAATGATTCATCGCTACCTATTTTTTTATTTAACTGCAATGCTTTTTTACAAAGCAAAGGACCAGATATTGGTTGTCCGGTTGATTGTTTTTGTAAAAACCAATAATACAAAGTTTCTTCTAAAAAAAAATTCGGTTTTTTCATCACTCTCTGATATTTTCCGTGTTCACTATCTAATTTGTTGATGTACAATAAGATTGAATCGGTATTCTTCTTAATATCTAATCGTGGATGTACCTACACCATACTTTTTAGCTAACTTACAACCGGTTTCTCCTTTCTTCAATGAATTAATGATATTTTATTGTCTTTAAGTGATAACACCACTCTCTTACGCTTTGACATTGTTTAATGTGTATTTATAAGTAGATGTGACACACGTCAAAGCGAGTTACAATAGCTAACTAATAACAATAACGAAACTCGTGGGTAGCGATCGCGCGGACGGTTTAATTCCAGTTCCAACACGTTCATGCTTACGTAAATTCGACTTGTAAGTTGTAGATATTTCATATTAAAATGGTCAGTGATCCGAATTATCGCGAATCCGTATAACTTGAGTTCCAGATAATCGAGTTTCTTCTGTATCTATATTGTAACTATGTAAACTCTTGCTTTTGGTAACTATACAACCTATTCACATTTTTATATAAAAATCATTGATATTATCAAAAAAACTGTTGTCCTTCTTCCCTCAATACATGATTGAACTCAAAATACCTGACAAACACCAAATTTATTCACTTATACAGGGTGACTGGTGAATTACTATCAATATTTAAGGAGAATACTCGGTACATGATTCTCATTCGAATTATGTAAAAAAAATAGGCACTTAATTTTTGACAAAATTTCCGTATAAATAAGTAAAGTGTTGACACGTTCCAAATGTTCAAGTGTGGACGCGTGCGGCGGCGTGCTGATACAACACTACGTCGCGACACGCGTATGTGTGAGTGTGAGTGTATACCTAATCTGTAGGGTGTTCACACGATGCGTAATTAATTACATAACTTTTGGTTAACTTTACTTAGAAGTTTATTAATATTTATGTTATATTAATTTTTTTTTGTCATATATGATCGTCAAATATCACGTCGTCAAATATCGATAGTAATTCACCAGTCACCCTGTATATACAATGAACATTTTTATAAATTAACCAGCTGCGCCCAGCCGTGTTACCCGCGGAATTCCTTGATGTAAAGTAGCCTATATGTTATTCCTGGACGTCAGCTTCCTGTATACAAAATTTTATCAAAACCGTTTCAACCGTTTGAGCGTGAAGTAGTAACAAACATACACACACACTCACAATCTTTCGCAATTATAATACTAGTAGGATATTTGACTAAACATATGTTTATCATAAATTCAGGTACATTAGCGGGTGGCGCTGCCGATTGCGTGTATTGGGATCGTGTTCTCGCTAAACAGTGTCGTCTGTATGAGCTAAGAAACAGGGAACGCATCTCTGTAGCAGCAGCCAGCAAACTAATGGCTAACATGGTGTATAACTACAAGGGCATGGGACTCAGTATGGGAATGATGCTTGCCGGTATTGATAAGAGGGTTAGTTGAACGTTTTTTACCTTAAGATATTAGTGGCCAAATATTAAACGAGAACTTAGAAAGTAATCTTTGTATTCTTCTGAATTAGTGAGACACTATTACCCCAGTTTTTTTATTTGAAGGAATCTTAAATAGTTTTCCTATCTGATGTGATTGCTTTTAGGTTTCAATGCCCACTCCTATATAAGTGTTATATAAAATTAAACTCCTTTAAATATTTATTTACCCATTTTAAACCCATAATACCTGCCCCAATCTTTTCATAGATAAGTAACATTGTTAAATCCTCATATTTTCTAATTCACTCCCTCCATTGCCTTAGTCATATTTAATCTCTAAAGTGAAGCATTTTTGGAACAAAATGTAACCAGATAGGTATGTAGTATTAAGTTTTTTTGTCATTGATCATATTTTAATCGCTTTGATGTGTTCAAAAACTCAGTTTTACTGTGAGTCTACATGACACACCTGTGTAGTGTTTATCCTTGCTTGTAAATATCTTTTGCAGACTTAGAAATTGCTTAAAACATTTGCACATATACTCTAAAATCTATACTAGTGACTCAGGTCATTCATCCACAAATATAATTGTGGCAACCAAATGTGCGATCGAGATGAGGTTCAATAGTTCGATCTGGGGTGGGTTTTATCTTAAAAATAGATACCACAAATTAAAATTTTGGGGTAATGGAAAACGAACCAATATCCAAAACAATGGTTAAGGTTGCTTCACTAAACCAGTAATGAAAATTTTCAAATTTTAAAGCTTTTTAAAAAAAATTAACAAAAGTTATTTTGTCATTTGCTTTATCATTAATCATTCTATTAAAATGTTCACTACTTCCATATAAATAAATATCACATTAGCAATCAAAGGCCCATAAATATTAATTACTGTTCTAATAAAGAAGTTTTAGTTATATTTTGTTATTTTCAATACATTGTGTATTTCTAGGGAGCTCAGCTGTACTATGTAGATAGTGAAGGTACTCGGACTCCGGGCAAAGTATTCTCTGTGGGCTCGGGATCAGTTTATGCATTTGGTGTTCTGGACTCTGGCTACCACTGGGACCTTGAAGATGAAGAGGCTCAAGGTATGTAGATTTATGTACCAGAAATCAATTGAATATACAGGGTGACTGGTGAATTACTATCGATACTTGAGGACGTGATATTTGACGATCATATATGACAAAATAAAAATTAATATAACATAAATATTAATAAACTTCTCAGTAAAGTTAACCAAAAGTTATGTAATTAATTACGCATCGTATGAACACCCTACAGATTAGGTATACACACACTCACGCGTGCGGCGGCGTGTTGTTGTATCAGCACGCCGCCGCACGCGTCCACACTTGGAACACTTGGAACGTGTACACACTTTATTTATTTATACGGAAATTTGGTCAAAAATTAAGTGAATATTTTTTTTACATAATTCGAATGAGAATCATGTACCGAGTATTCTCCTTAAATATTGATAGTAATTCACCAGTCTCCCTGTATATAACTACTTCATAATAGAAGGTATTATTTTTATAGTGGGAGTTATATTTACTAAATTTATTTTGTTTCGCTGGTTGGTAAAAAAAATAAACATATTAGAATACTATGTATATACAATGTAAATTGAACTTATTTATATTAATATTGAATTTATGTCAATATCGAGTTATTTCGACCCTTTAATAGTGTATTGAATATTAACTATGTATAAAAATAATATTTTTCGTATTTACTACGCGTTTACGCGTTTTACTACTTCTATCGAGATGGTTCATCTACCAATGATAACAGTTGCTGTAAAGTAGCCGAAACGTCAGGAAGATGTAGTTATAATAATTATATACGCGTATCTATAACCTACTAAAAGACTTGGGCTTGTCCAGAACTCACATGAATAAATTCTTGGAACGTACATCGAAGGCAGCCCTAGTAGGTTCTTTTCAAATTTGGTTAGGTAGGGAGAGGAGCTTTGACGGTGGAGGTGAGCGTATACCAAGCGTTATATAGGGGTCCCTTAAACCTACACCTGGGTCGCAAGTCACAGGCAATGTTGAAGCTCCTCTCACTGTATCGCGATGGACCCGGCACCCGCACGGTGAATCCATGGAATGCTGAGAAGTTTCGTCTCATTTCGTCTCTGTTTTACACCAAGGAATTATCAGGAAAGCCTTAGATCTCGTTACCTATGTATGTATGTATATACCTAACATGTATGTATGTCTGTTTGTTCCAGAGCTAGGTCGCCGCGCCATCTACCACGCGACCCACCGCGACGCGTACTCCGGCGGTATCATCCGCGTGTATCACATCAACGACAAGGGCTGGGTCAACATCTCCAATGAAGACTGCTCCGAGCTACACTACAAGTATCAAGCCGAGAAGGGTGTTAAGGATGAATAAATATAATATTTTACATTATTTGTTATTGTTGTTTTATTTAATATCACCTAGTTACGCTATAGTTATTCTTCTTTGTTAAATGTACCTAAGTCTGAATTAACGTTACATAAGTGTTGCCAGTTTTTAAATTAAAGTTGCCAATTATCTATTATATTTAAGTGTTGCTAATTTAAAATGAATACCTGGTGGCCTTGAGATTAAGGCGGGGATTCGAAACCTGGCAAGTACCAATGTGCTTGTATCGAGTCATACTTACTTTCTAAGAGTATTTAAACGTCACTGATAGAAGGTGAAGGAAAACATCGTGAGGAAACCTGGACTTAAAATTTCACAATTATAAGTTTGAAATCACCAACCCGTCCTGAGCGACTTTTATGTTAAACTGATATTAAGAAAGCTACTTACTACAACTAGGATATTTTAATATTACATATTTCTAATATGTTCAGTAAGCATCGAGCTTTGAGTAAATTGAATGTATGAATTTAAATTTAGCAATGGACTCATTCAAATTACTAAATAAAAAATATTTTATTTTTGTGAGAGATTTATATATAACTAGCTGCGCCCCGCGGATTTCCGGAATGTAAAGTAGCCTATATGTTATTCCTGGACGTCAGCTTCCTGTATACAAAATTTTATCAAAATCGGTTCAGCCGTTTGAGCGTGAAGAAGTAACAAACATACACACACACTCACAAACTTTCGCAATTATAATATTAGTAGGAAAAACATTACACATCACTACTAATTTAATTGTACTCACTGTTAAAGTGTAAACAATCTTTAAAACTTTTATTGGCCAGTGAGACATTATACTGAAATAAATATATATAGTATCTTGTAAATGAAACAATATCAAAATGTTATTCTTTAAATATATTGTTCCTATCAGAAAACCAATAAAAGTGAAATATTTTGTTTCATATTGTAAGTTTCAAATAAATAATACACAAGTGTCATTAGCCAGCAATTTATTAACACTTATATATAACATTAATACATAGTAATAAGTTAAATTATCAGAGCCTCCATACAATGTTTAAATATTGTGGCGTCTTTAAATAAACATTTATTACTCGTTTATTTAAACAAAAAGAGACTAGATCATAAAACAAACCAAATATCCTACAAGTAATTTAACATATAAATTTAAGATTTCTTTTTATCATCTTTTCCCTCATCATCTTTTATGACAATTTCTTCAAATGATTCCTCTAGCTCCCAATCTTTGAGTGGTACTTCTGTCAGTTTGTAGAATTTCCCATGTTTGCCGATACCTTCAAAAATATAGTTATATGTGAATATAAATTAATATTGAATTTGTAATTATCTTGCATATATTGGTTTACTTTAGCCTGGTGAATTCAGTCATTTGAATTTATATAAAATATACAAGAAAATGAAAATTGATGAGTTATTGAAAATTATTAAAGTTACATTTTCATTGTTTTTTATTAAATTGTGGCAAGTAGAAAAAAAGTATTTATGCATTTTTTACACATGATTTTGAGATGTATAGTTCTTGCCTGAGGTATTTTGAAGATAAAACTTACTATTTACTGAAAAAACTCAAATTTTTTAACTTGAATATAATTTTTTTCTCACAGGACAAATATAGGGAACTTTCAAATTTTATTTTTAATTACATTTTCACCAATTTTCAGCTTATTCTTAATTTATTTAACTATCTAGTTTTCATTGTTTGTCTATATCTTATACTTTTAACGTCATTTAATAATTATAAAACTAGGTAAATAAATAATAATATCAGACCTCCTTGGAACTTTTTAATTCCCTCGTTCAAATCTTCTAGAGCTGACCCCAAAAGGCTGTTCATGATGGCTTCATCCCTCATACTCTCTTCACTGTTTGGATTCAACTGAGAGTTGACGGCCGCTAATTTGTCCATTATAAGAGCATTTTGAGGGAATTTAGTCAATGATTTGGCTAATTTTATTGCTTCTCCGAGAGCTGAAAAATTTGCATAGTTTAGGACATACCTTTGATTCAATTGATTCGATTCGATGTTATTGGATATTAATATTAGAAGGTTTTAAAATCTTTTGGTACTAATTCAAATATTTTGTACTAATTTCTTTGTTTTATGTATTATACAAAACCAAATATTTATGTGTTTTGGTAAAATAGAGAAGAATTAGTTTCTTTTAATAATCTATAAACAAATTAACTAACCAGTTCCTGTCGCAGTTAGTTTACAAGATAGGCCCAAAGCATGTGCCTCTGTACCGGAGATCGGTCGACCAGTTATTAATAAATCTAATGCTCGAGAGAGACCTATTAGAGATGTTAGCCGTCTACCACCATACAGACTTTGGGGTGCTCCTGGAATACAGCATTTATTTTTAATATTATGAGGTTTTTAATATGTTTTTCTATATGAAAAGTTTAAATATAATTATAGGAAAATATTGTTTGCACTGAAAGGATTTTCCATAGTTGAAAACTGCAATAAAACCTGATAAGTACATAAGTTATAAAAATAAATAATCCTAAAATTTATCACCTCATGGACCAACTACCGCATATAAAATGCTTCCAATGAGTGAATTTAATCAATAAAATCCTAATATTTCTTATTATTACCAAATCTCCGTCCCAGACAACCGAGAACAGCGGTATCTTCAATGATCCGCAGATCACAAGCAAGTGCCAGTTCAAAACCCTCACCCACAGCATATCCTGTAACCGCAGCTATGGTAGGCTTATCACAGAGTGGCCGACGAAGGAGTCTTGACTGTAAAAAAATAAAGTCTTTTATTAAAATTCAATAATTATAAAATACTATGCATTATAAGTATTTTATCTTAACAAGTACAAAATACTGTAATCCTCGTTTAACATAGTTTTATAAAATTTTCGGTTTATTTCGCTTTTTTTTTTATTTTTAGCTACATACTCCCGACGTTTCGTTAACTTTGCAGCAAGCACGTTTTTTTAATAACAAAATACGCGTAATACTATGAAAATATTAGTTTAATTTCAATGAAGACTACCTAAAGTCTTAAATCTCATTAACGTTTATACTTAATCCAAGTTAGTAACTAAAAAGAAATTCATAAAAATAAGTTGCTTGCTTACCCCAGCATCAATGAAATTTTGATATCCCTTTTCACCAACTTCGTCCAGGTCGAAACCGGAACAGAAACTGCCACCTTCGCCGTTAAACACAAGAACTTTTGCTTCTGGATCTTTGTCGAATGTATTAATAGCTTCAGACATTTCTCTTAATGTGGCCTCATCTAAACTATTTCTTGATTTCTGTCTATCTATATTAAGGGTTGTGATACCACCGAATTTCTCTACAACTATGTCTAAAACAAATATGACTCGATTAAAAAATATATTCTAAGGACTTAATGCAAAGATTTATCTTATATCGTACTTTTTTTGATATCTTCTAACTGTTCCTTCGATACCTTTTTTTCCTCTTCCTTTTTTTTAGCATCGCTTTTAGAAGAAGCTAGACGTACATTTGTTCGACGAATTGTAACGGTGGTAACAGAAAATAACTTTCTAACAAGACTAGCCATTGTGACGTTAGACTTTCAATAGCAATACAAAATAAAGGTCTTTATTTAAAACACTTTTCTTCCGGCAAAACCGCGAGGTTATGTTTATTTTGAACTACCGCAATTATAATCTATATTAAATCAAATTCAACGATGTCAAAATATTATACTGTCAAATTCAACTGTCTTGACAATTTAATTTGTTTTCTCTATTTTCATATCTAGACTGAAATTTAATTTTATAATTGTTTTACTCGTTTTTTTAAATACCTCACTATCATTCCCATTTTCCCATTAGTACGATAATATTAAAATTATTTAATCCACCAAAACAAAAAATTAATGTTTTTGTTAAAACTGGGGATCTGAAAAAGATTTAATTTTACTCGTGGCTTCGTAAAAGCCTCATTTTTGGTTATTGGAAACTACAACACAAGGTTAAAAAACACCAAAAGCTGTTAACAAAATTTTACTACGGGGATATATATAGAAACAATATTAAATTGTGGATACAAATCTAAAAACAATCAATTTTTAATAAAAACGTTGACCAGCAAAAATTCGGATGTTTCTTTACCACTTTAAGCAAATAAAGTTTAAGACTTTATATATTTTGACCCTTTTACAGTACCATTGAGTTTTCCAGCAAAGCATCTAAATCTTTCATGATGTTCGCTTTCAAATTACTTTTTAAAAGTTTTTTAATGTGCAGCTCAACAATATTTTTTATCGACAACACTTAAATACCAACCACGGATAAACGTCAAAAAACAAAATATCACTGTTGCGTTAGTTGTGCACAGAGTAAAGTTTCGACGATTTTTCTGGACAAATATAATTAGGACACGTGTACTTGCTTATTTTGGTGTCATTAGACAAATTTTAAACATATTAAAGTGTTGCTATCGGACGGTGAAATAACAACTTTTATCATTGAACAGATATCTTAGAAGCGGCTAAAATGTCGGAATTTAACGACTGGTACAATAGTGTACCTTTCTTTACTCGTTATTGGTTGACGTTTACAATAGCTTTAAGTATAATAGGACGGTTTGGGGTGATTAGTTATTATTATTTCATATTGGACTACTACCCCTTCATACATCAATTCCAGGTATGACTTTGATAAGCTTTTTGTTTAAAACTCGTAATGAAACAAGATTTTTTTAAATGAAAGATATGCCCGTAGGTGTATACATGATTCATCAATTCATTAATATTGAAATTTTCATGTCTATTATCAATGAAATAATTATCAAATTGGTTTTCCGAATATTACTAAATTTAAGTTAGTCTTAAGACTGTGCAGAATTTTTTGTTATTATTCAAATTATCGTAAGAATAAGCTCCTAATATTATTAATGTTTACAATGCTTAAATCTGAATTTAAAATTATTTTTTCAGATATGGCGGCCAATCACAGCATTATTCTACTATCCGATAGGGCCATCAACTGGTTTCCACTTCCTCATCAACTGTTACTTCCTTTACAACTACTCGCAGAGATTGGAACTTAGTATGTTTGCCGGCAAACCAGCCGACTACTTCTACATGTTACTATTTAACTGGCTCTGCTGTGTTATCATTGGATTATTGGTTAACTTACCGGTGAGTATGGCTATTTATTTATGAAAATAAACTGTCTTCATATGAGAAGAGGCCTTTGCTCAGCAGTGGGCTCTGATAGGCTGATGATGAAATATTATGAAATGGCAAATAAACAAACAAAAAAAAACTGATACAATTAACCAAGCTTGTAATAGATTGCCATAGTAGGTATTAAATTTAAGAAAAGAACAAATCAATAACCAACTATAAGTTATTGAATAATAACATATTTGCCACAATATCTATTTTTTTAAGAGTCTGTACTAAATTAAATCTTTAAAAGGTATTAGTATTTAAAAAATCATGAGATTATAAATTATTATACATAATTATTTTCTCATACTTTGTTTCTATGTAAGTTAGCAAACTGTTAAAAGATGCTTAAAAAACATTGTGTTAATTGTGAGATTTGTTTTAACAATATTAGAGAAGAATTAAGAATGTATTATGAGATAAATGTAAGCATTATACAGTATGTAATATAACCTAATAAAAAAATACCTTACATTTTTACTTGCATATGCAATACAGAATTACCTAGCAATTGTTCACCAAATACTAATATATGGTTTCGCCAAATATTATACTAAAATGTCTCCTGCTAGCTATATAAAATAGTTGAAGTGTATATTTGTTTGTTCTACAGATATTAATGGACCCGATGGTACTCTCAGTTTTGTATGTGTGGTGTCAATTGAACAAAGATGTGATCGTTTCATTCTGGTTCGGAACACGCTTCAAGGCGATGTACCTACCATGGGTGTTGCTAGCCTTCAATCTCGTGATAAGTGGAGGGTAGGTTTAAATATACCTATTGATTTAGTAGTATAAACAGTAAATACCTATAGAAAAATGAGATCTAAGATTTTCGCGAGTACTCATTGAAATGAAACGTCAGGAGTATATAGTTTCTAATCAAAAATAAAACCCAAAGTAATATCCGAAACTATTAGTTTCACCTATATAAAAAATTAATATTAATAAGCATTGTGTATATTTATACAGGGTGACTGGTGAATTACTATCAATATTTAAGGAGCATACTCGGTACATGATTCTCATTCGAATTATGTAAAAAAAATAGGCACTTAATTTTTGACAAAATTTCCGTATAAATAAGTAAAGTGTTGACACGTTCCAAGTGTTCAAGTGTGGACGCGTGCGGCGACGTGTTGATACAACACCACGTCACGACATGCGTATGTGTGAGTGTCAGTGTATACCTAATCTGTAGGGTGTTCACACGATGCGTAATTAATTACATAACTTTTGGTTAACTTTACTTAGAAGTTTATTAATATTTATGTTATATTAATTTTTATTTTGTCATATATGATCGTCAAATATCACGTCCTCAAATATCGATAGTAATTCACCAGTCACCCTGTATAAAATAGTTTCAATCTGGTAATAATGGTTAGATATTATGAAGGTTTTTTATTACAGAAATATTGAAATTTGTTTTAAAGATTAAGCCACATATCTTAGTTTATTTATAAGCTAATAAGATTTTTTTTTTCAGTGGAGTTATGGAACTTCTGGGAATACTCATTGGCCATCTTTCTTTCTTCCTGTTATTTAAATATCCACAAGAATTCGGTGGACCAGCTCTCTTGACGCCACCAGCATTTTTGTAAGTGAAAATTTAAATCTATATAATATATGTATATCTATCTGTATATATAAAAATGAATTGCTGTTCGTTAGTCTCACTAAAACTCGAGAACGGCTGAACGGATTTATCTTATCTTAGACTTGAAATGATCGTGGAGGTTCAGGGAAGGTTAAAAAGCTGGAAAAAAATTAATAATTTCCGGGAAAACTATAAAAACAGCCCTTTTCTATTTTCCATACAAACGTTTTGTTTCACATTAGATTTGACAATTAACTAATATGTCAATCATTCTGTCGCACTTCAGAACACGGAGATTTATGGCTTAAATCTCCGTGTTCTGAAGTGGCAAAAAATTATCCTATGTCTATTGAGGCAATACGAAGTCTGCCGAGTCAGCTAGTCCTACTAATATTATAATTGCGAAAGTTTGTGAGTGTGTGTATGTTTGTTACTTCTTCACGCTCAAACGGCTGAACCGACTTGATAAAATTTTGTATACAGGAAGCTGGCGTCAAGGAATAACATATAGGCTTCTTGACATCCCGGAAATCCGCGGGTAACACCGCGAGGCGCAGCTAGTTATTTATATATCTTTTTGGATAAATTCAAGATTTTCTAACCCATTTTATTATTCATTATATTTATTATCTATAGTATGTTGTACTATTTCTTACTATAACTCATTCTCTATCTACTATTTACAGGAAACAATTATTCCCCGACACCCGTTATGTCGGAGGTTTTGGCACAGCTCCTCAATCAAGACCTACAGCGAGACCTGGTAATGTGTTTGGACACAACTGGGGCCGTGGACAGACACTCGGTGGAAATTAAACTGTGATATTGATTGTGAAACAAATCAATTTGATTTTGATATTAGTAAACTCTATTTCTAACTGGTAACAAGAAGGAAGTTCGGTGTTTAATATATTTTTTTTATAACATATAGAATATAGATTGAATTTCCTTAATAATGTCATTTAAAAGCATACATTTGAGTTTTAATAGTCATTATAAAAGATAACGAATATTTTTCTCCATATGTATGTATCTAGTTGTATGTATTTTCCTCGGAATTGATCGAAATGTAATGATTGTGGTTTGTGTGCTCTGTGTGAAAAGAATTATCATTATAAAATTTCTATTGTATAGATGTGTCTTGTCACATTTATTTTACCAACTGATGAAAGTTTAAAGACTTTGTTAGTTATTAATTTTTTAAATTTAAATGCTTTGTTTTAACTTGGTTTAAACTTTGGTTATATGTTTTATCAGAATTATGTAAATAAAACATAATTATATTTCTATATAGTTGTTTAAAAATAAAAAGATGTAACTATTACTGTGTTTTCCTTAATGTTTTTCAAAACAATCTGATATATATTTTTAAGAACAAATTATTTTGTCCTGTATATTTGTAATGCAAGAAACCAATGCTTAATTGTGTTCTCTTAGCATTCAAAGAATTCACCATTGTGTGCCAGGTTCATTGCGTTTCAAGAAGAGGAGCTACAACAGTGACTGGGACTTGCAACCCAGGTGTAGGTTTAAGGGGCTCCTATCTAACGCGCGGTAAGCCCTCACCTTTACCGTCCAAGCTCCTCTTTCTAGCAAATTTGAAAAGAACCTACTAGGCTGCCTTCGAAGTACGCTCCAAGGATGAATTAATGAGAGTTCTGGACAGGCCCAAGTCTTTTAGTAGGTTGTAAAGAGATTTAACTGTTATACTTCTCGCTCACACTTCTACCACATACAAATCCACGACGAACCTGAGTGAGTTCATAATATTTATCGACCTTGATCATATGGTCTTCAGGGATGTTGGTTTCCCAAGGAACAGTAAGTTCTATCATCACAATATGCTTAAATATTTGTGTGTAATAAAACAAAAAATAAATTACTGTAACTTTACTAAATATCTATTCACAATGATTAATGGTGGCTCTGATCTTTAGGGTCAGGTTTGCCGTACTCTTTCTCCCACATTGCAATAAATTCTTTCTTTTGGAGCTCTCGTTTCTTGAAATATTCAGGGTAGTGAGCTTTTTCCAACGGATGCCAATAGTCGAGGACCCAATCAGGTGGAGTTACGACTCTCCCGTAGGCAACACCGCCAGGACTAGTGGGGACTAAAAATAACAACTTTAATTAATTCTTAGTTATTATAGTCATTATTGTGAAAATAATTTAAATTTTTATTTAAATAGTATCAGGGATGGGGCAAATCTGCTTAAATAGTATTGGACATGTGCATATATCCACATTAGAAGCAGCTATACAGGGGAAATTTAAAACTTACAATTTACTTTTATTTAAAGTGTTATGAAGTCAATTTTGAATTTGGTGATAAATTAAATCCAAATTATTACACACTGTGACAAAAAGTTCTTAAAAGTCATTAATTTAGAATATGATAACTTTAAACCTTTCTCTGTGAAACTGCTTCTATGGCAGATACATAAAATATGCAATCCTAGTTAATCCATATTAATATTATATAATTGTAATCCAAGACAATTTTACATCAGTTTTTGTTAATAGATTGAATAATTTTAAGAGTTATTTAACTGCATCAAAATAGTAAGAATATTCAGCTATACTTTACTAAGTATGTATCTGTAAGTATAATAATAACTTTAACAATGTCAGGATTTTTAAAAACATTATTAATGAACTTGGATTACATTAATATGATCATGCACTATATAAAGTAAAAATAGAATGTCTTCTATTATTACTTAGTTAAGTTGTATTGCAAAATTTGGTCTCAATGTTGTGTTATATTAAAAATATATTTGACTCACATTTCCTGGGTAAGGGATGTTGGTTAAGGAACAATTCTTGTTCACCCTCTTCTAAAAGTTTCACAGCCTTACGGAAATCTGTGATTTTGGCATTCTTGTCAAAACGATCTCTCATAAGCACAGCTTGGTAACGGTATACATGGCTACAATAAAGACAGTATTAGTATATTTTATAGAATTACTTTAAATATTGATGAAATCTACTAGATGAATACAATGTCCAAAACTACTAAAACAAATTCTAAGTATGAAATTCTAGTTCCATCTCAATACTAATACAAAAAAAGAAAATACTCTAACGAAACATTTTGACATCGATTAAAACGTAACTCTTGTGACATTCTTGAATATTAACAAATAATAAAAAGAAATCTGGAAAACAAAAAAGGTTAGATATTAATAACAAGCAGTCATTACGTAATTGAATTTAAAGGGTTTTATTAGTTTTTGCGTAAATTCTTACCGTACATCGTAAATCGACTCTAAGTTACGTAAAGCCCTTTTATAAAGACTACACACTTTTTGAGAATGGGTTACTATTCCAAGAGGCAGCTTCGCTGCCATTTTCGTTTTTTGTTTAGATTTTATAAAATGTAACTATTTGACATTTGATGGTTACCTTTTTGACAACCTTAGTGGTCTTTAAAATCGAATACTTGGATTGAATACAGATTACAGATGAAGACGACAATTAAAGAATTAAACTATATTCGTTTATGCAATATAGGAATTGATTGTTTATTATTTGTATTTTAAAAGTATAAGATCGAAGGTGGTATTTTGACTTATAGTAATTTCGGTTTTTGAATTATTATTTTGAATTTGCACTGGTATAATGTTGTTGTCCTTAAAATTCGAAACAACATTACAATAACTTATTTTATTTGTTCTCGATATTGTGAATTTTATTCCTACATGAGTTACAAAATATACAGGTATAAAAATATGGTCCAAATAAAGCATTCACTGGACAAATAAAGTTTTTTACATTTATAACTTGTTATGTTAATTTCGAGAGACTTAACAGTTTTTTACATGCTTAACGCTACTTCAAAAATGAAAGTAAGCTTTATTTTAGATAAATATGGAAATAATATATTTATTTTATATTTTACAGCAAAATATTGTAGCTTATAAAGAACTGTCTACATATTCTGCCACCTTCAGCTGTCCGCCATATTGGATTTTCAATGACGTCACCTAGTTCACCTTGTATTTTCATACAAACTGTTAGCACTTTGAAATGTATTTTTGAAAGATTTAAAGTTTTCACAAATTTATTTACACTATTATGTGGAATTAAAACAGTATGATAATTGTATTATAATAAACAACCACATTAATGTATTTTATTATTTTTTGTTACAGAACAATTTTATTTGTACGTTGTAAAATTTTAATTTAAGTTTTAATGAAACAAATACAGCGAATCGCGTCATTTGTCGTCTATATTATAATATATTTTATTTAAATTTTTAAAATAGTTTACACTCTCCGATACACACTGAACAGTTACAATTTGATAAGCAAAAAAAAAAATATTTACATAACATTTGTACGTACATATTCAACCATTGCATATTTATCATTATTAAAAGAAATTTATATATTTTTTATTCGCTTTAATAATATATCTATAATATTATGTGATTTCTTAAACTGCAGTGTATTCAGTATTGGTTACAAGGTCAGCGATGCTCTTCTACTTAAATGCAATTGTAAGATAATATTATATTGCGAAAATAACACGCAACTTTAAGTACACAGTTCACAAGTACACAGCCAATTTGTATTGATAAAATAAAATTTGAAAAAGGTTTGTTAGAATGCTCGTATTATTATTATTTTTATATATATTAATATTTATTAGATTTTTTCTGACTATTATATTAATTTGTCATTTATTCGAAATACTTAGGTATATATACGTTGTATGTATATTATATTATATTGTTATCTTTAAAATTCCTATATGGTAATCGTTAACGAATTTCACTTTTGCCTTCTACAAGATAAATATTTTTGATTACATTATAAAATGCACACTAAAATGTCTGCCAGTACTATCGTTCTATATTGAGGTCGAAGAAAGTTAGAAAAACGGTGGCGAGATGATCAACAACTGAACCGGTCGCGCTCGGTTTCGAATGGAAATTACGAAATGTCTAGTCTCATTATTTTTTTGAAAATAGAACGGAGTCTAGTTTTTTTTTTAATGAAATTTGTCAGTGTTCAGTAATTTTTCAGTTTCCTTAGAAAGTCCAAAGAGTTTTTAATGATAGAGTGTGGCTGCACGCGACCTACTGATTCTAGAGTACGTCAGTGTTAACCCGACACTTGGTGCGGTGGGTTCTATTACCATCGCACTCAAATAAAAAAATATATTAAATAAAAATAAATATATATACTTATATTTTAATATAGTGGAAGTATATTAGTGAGTAAATTTTTTTGGATGTGTAGGAGCTGCAGTCATAGTTTGAAAAACTAATTTCTGTAAACTTTAGGTAAGTCCCTTTATCATGCAGATATAGTATTGTACGTAAACCATTTTATTTAATAATATTAATAAATTTATATTTTAAATATATTTTTTAAATTTAGTTAAAAGTTAGTAAACTACAAATAATGTTCATTATTATATACACAACTTTCTTTACTTGCACGATTCTTTAAAGCTGTATATATTTATATAATTTTAATTATTTTTTAAAACTTTCTTTCATAGTTTTTTCAAGAAATAATTTAAATACATATAGCGTAAGAAATGGAGTTACAAAGTAACCATGTTTTATATTGCCGCCGTTTTCTTAATTTTGGTCATGACAAGATAGATGAAAGCTTCAAAAATTATTAAAGTAAAAAAGTGCAAAAAAAAACATAACAGCGGTTTCTATTACGTTATTCTGATTGCTATTTAAAAACTGTCATTCAAACGTTAATGATGCAGAAAAATTTTAGTTATATAACTCTTACGCTAATAGTCAATAATTTATTTATATTTTACAATACATATATATTCTACATGTTATTTACTTTCAAAAGTTCTGTACGATATTTTTTATGCTAAATATATGAATTTACAAAAATGTCTCTTGTGTCAATGTCAAATGCATTAATAATGAATTCTTTATTTTCCGAAAGTAGGTCTTATGGAAAGTGAAACTACGATTTGTATAAATCTGTGGGAGCGTGATTATCACAAATTGTGATATTTCGGCGCATTTATGACTTTAGAAAGCAGATGTTACAGTTTCAAATGATTGTGTCCGTTTTTAATGACTAAATGATTTACACTCGTTTGGTTAACAACGAAAAAGATTATTTTGTTAGTGAACTGGTATCTTAAATTTGTTTATATTATGGCCTTTATTCGTTTCTCTCAAAACGAATAAAGGCCACCTATAATATTAGGCTGTTTTTTAAATAAAACATCTTAATTTTTGTAAAAGTTTTTAGTGATATATGTATTATACTTTTAGTCATATGCTCATAAATGGACTGTACGAAATTATTCAAACGTGAAAACAACAAATATGAATAAAAATAACTCAAATACAATTAATAAGGTGTCCTAATTATCATAACGTGTTGCTCAAATATTGTCACAGCGTTTGTATTGACGTCTTCTACATGACATTGGACAATGATTAACACTAGGTAGTAGGCACTGGGTACGCCATAGCCGATAGCCCATAAAAGCATCTAAATTATGCAATATATTATCTGTTATGGTGTTGCTATTAACTGTTAAGTGTTGCAAGTATTGCAATAGTGTTATGTCAAAAGTTTTTTCAAGGTTTGTTTAGACAAAAGTGCTGTGAACGCTTGTTAATAGGTTTGTTTGTTATATAGATTATAACGGGTGTCCCAACAAGAACGCAATTTTTAACTTTGGCTCCATTTTAAGCGTGATTGTTTGACATTTGAACAATTGTTATTATTTGCTTGTAGAAGGTACAAGGTTTGTAAAAATGGAGCGCTACACGAATGAACAACGCATTTTCTTTGTAAAATTGTTTTACCAAAATGGTGAAAGTTTTGCGGCTACAGATCGCAAATTACTCAAAAAGAGTCAACTGTAAAGAGATTAATGAATAAATTTGCCGAAACTGAGTCTGTTAGTGATGTAAAGACAACAACAACAACGCAAACAGTCAATGGTGTTCGATATCGTGAAATGATTACCAGTTTTTTCTTGCCTAGAATCGAAGAAATGGATGTGGAGGGCATGTGGTTTCAACAAGTCGGCGCCACATGTCATACAGCCAGAGAAACAATTCAATTGCTGCATCAGTCATTTCCTGGTCATGTTATTTCCCGTTTTGGAGACCAGAATAGGCCGCCTAGATCGTGTGATTTAACACCTTTAGATTATTTTCTTTGGGGTTTTTTGAAATTGATGGTTCACGCGAATAAGCCGACGACGACTCAAGTACCGCAGTATTTATGCAAAACGGTCCTAGAAAATTTCATTCAAAGTTCGCGCGTGTGCCTGCAAAGCCGCGGCGGCCATCTGCACGATATCTTGTTCCATACATAACCTCATTCTATCTACTTTACGATATAATAAAGTTTCACGATATTTTTTTTTATATCAGTGTTTTATTTAAAATTTAAAAATTGCGTTCTAGTTGGGACACCCTATATGATATGTTTTATTTTAAAGCCGATCCACATTATCGTGATTCTTGAGCTTTATATTTAGTTTTACTTTATTTCAAGCAAAATCAGATCAATTTCAATAGTTCTCTTTCTGTTTAGATGTAGGTAACGCAGTCGAAACAAATAAATACAAAGTAAACAACATTTTTCGATATCCATATTTACAATTACACATTTTTTTTTATAATTTTATCGTATTCAAACTTTATATATTACATTAAAATGAATAGATTTTTTTTTACAAGTGAAGTCACGATATCGAAATTGTTGAGTTATATTATTAGAGTTTTTATAAATTTATAATAACTATGTTAATGATGGAAACTTTAGAAATATGATAATTATCATAGTTTCGTGAATTATTAGGTTATTCACATTCACATTAAATATGTAGAAACTTGAAATCGGTCTTATGTGTGACATAATCAAGACGAGTTATAAGTACATATTTTGTAAATAGGTTTGTTTATGATTAATCACTGAACCTTGCTTATGATCAAACTACCTATATATAAAAAAATATTTACAGAATAAATAAATTCTATGTTTTATATATAATATAGGTTAGTTTTAATTTAGTTATTTTAAATGCAAATGGATTACTTCCCGTGACCCGTTCGGATATAACAACAAAGGCGAGTAACAAAACACAATTTTAAGGTTTAAATACCGTGTGAGGTAAGGTTAAAGTAAATTGTGAGATATATTTGAACAAGAACAAAAAGCATTGTTATTTGAATGATAATTCATAGTGATTTTACCATTAATAATATTTGATAATGTTTTATTAAGACTGGCAATTTTCTTCTCAATTTCTTAAGCACTTTCACAGTTTTCTATATGGCAATATAATTATTTTTGAAATAAATCATGTCACAATTATGACATAATTTTTACTC